GCTAATAATATCATTTACCAGTTTCACTAGTGGACGTCATTGTTGGAAGTAATGTAAAAAAGAAATGGCTAATAGCAGAGATTTGAGATAGGTGCTGAGGGCAGTTTGCTTTTCTCCAGCTAACACAGCTGACCATAAGCCAGTGTTCCAAGGATTCAGTTTTTTTAAAAAGACATTATCCCAAAAATAATGTCATCCAATGCAAAAACCGTTGCATAACAACATTTTCATAACCTTGACTGTGCAAAGTAATACATTTATACTGACAAGGTTTAATTTTCTTCTTCCTCTTTAAAACAACCTTCAGTGGAAGAGTGCATCTTTGTGGGATCAGTTATTCTTTGTAATGGAATTGTTTGATTTGAGATTTGCATTTTTGATATTTTTAAAGTCAGAAAGGGTAGTTGGGTCATTCAGTCAGAGCTGTGCACTTAGCTGTCTTTTATGCCTTTGAAAATTGCCTTAATTCTTAAATGGCAAACCAAACTTTCCATCGAACTTTATGGAAATGAACGGACTTTATTGAAATTGGACTTCCTATCCATTTGAAAGTAACAAACCTCATTCTAGTCCATCGTAGGCTTTGATCTGAGGATCAGGGCTTACATTGCTTTATTCTGTTGTGTTTGGTGAAGTTATTTTTGACTGTATTCATGTAAGTCAGAGGGGACTTCCAATGGTGTTTAGTTTAGCAGACAACGATGGACATTTTTATACGTGCTGCAGGACGCGGCATGAGTGCCTTAGTTAGTAAGCCATGCCAATTAAAACCCATGTGTCAAGTCTATCAGTGTCCCCATGCTGAAAAAATGGTGGCGGGGAGCTTTGAACTAATACTCATTGAATATGTCTTATTTCAGTGTGCCCCACTGCCATTTTTTCAGTGCAGAGAAGCACAATAACACTGATATACATGACATGGAAAGCTGCTAGAGTGCATCAATTTTTGTGCTCCAGCAGAATCTATGAATCTGGCTTTCCAGTGTGTTGGAGCAAGCTCCATGCATGTCTACGGGAGCCCAATGTAACAACTTCCAGTTGCTGGAAGCTGAAGTCAGATCAGTCAGGATAAAGACAGGCACAGTTTTCATTAGCAGTGGGGATAAGTGACCAGTGGAAAAATTACCAAAGCATTAGAGTTGTGAAGGATATTAAATTTTTATATCAAGACTGAATGATATGGTCTGTCTTTCAGAATATTGGTGAACTGAGGGAACTGCTATGTGAAAAGCATTGACCTATATTATTCTAGATTGAATTATGACAATATTCCCATCTGGAATTAAAATCTATAAGTGAATCTTTAAACCAAGGCCAAATATGCTAATTGTAAAAAGGGAAAAAATGATATTACACTTGAGAATTATGAGTATTTCTGTGTGTGTCTGCACATATATATGTATATATGATTTACCTTTTGCATATCACAAGAATTCAGAATATTTTTATGCAGGTTCATTTGGGGAAAAACATGTTAAAAGCATGGTTTAAACTATTGTATAAAAAAACAAAGTTTAAGTCATATCACAGGATTTTTTAATACTGTTCAAAAAGTACCTGACTGTACATAAACACCAACTATAACATGATGTAGACAACCAAGAAACAAGCAAATGTATTTTTAAATTCTAAAATAAATTACATTTATACAAGTAGAAAGCAGAACCAAAGCTGATAAAAATGTTAAATTTTATGAAAAATCATTTTCAGTTCACATCAAAATAACTTTACATTCTCTATTGTTTAATAGTATAAGCAGCAACAACTTAGAAAAGAACAAATGCTCACAGAATGTTTAAATCCAGATTTTCATAATAAGTTATTAGCAAATAAAAAAAAATAATTACACGCACTTGTAGCCCACACAAATCTTTTAGAATTGGCACCATCTCTCTAAAACATCTATATTCTATATAGATTTCTAATTACAAATACCACCAGCAGCTGCCATTGAATCCTATTAGTACATATAATATACATAGTATATTTGTTTGCATTTGGCAGATCAGAGTGACTCGGCAATGTGTTATTTAGTATTAGCACTGTCATTGCTCAGACAAGACAAAACCCAGCCTTGTATACCAGTTCATCACTGAGATCAATTCTTTACTTACCTTTATGTTTCACTGATCTGTATTTTTTTTTCTTTTCACAGTATAAAATTGGAAGTGGCAACCACAGACATTTTAACAGCTTGGGTGTAATAATAAGCTGTAGCAAAAGAAATGAACTCAGATAATTCAGCCAAAGCCTCCGTATGTGCAGTACACATTGGGAGGGAAGCATATGAATGTTTTATTTTCCCTCTCCTTTTTGTTCATTGGGAGCACTTTGCCTCCAAGAATTAAGAAACTGCAGTGGATCCATGACCTGTTTTTCGTTTGTGGACTGCTTATTCTAACATCCCTCAACACTTTCAATCACAGGTTTATTTTGCAACCAGAACACCTGCTAGAGCAGTAATGACTGAAGCAAATCAGTGGGAAGGTGCTGGCCACCAAACTAAGCAAATTCTCTTAAGGATTAACCTAATAAAATACTTCTGCAGTTTGGACCAAAGAAATCTTAAGTCACTTTTGCCTTCTAACATTCCCTGCTGAAGCAAATAATGAACATCTAGATTTCATTGATCACAGTCAAGCCCTGACCTCATTTGCGCTAACATAAGTCAGGAATGACTCCATTGGCCTTAGTGGATCAAAGGCCAGATCTGATAAAGGCCTTAGGTACCTAAAAGTTAGGAGATACCTACCTGGCATGAAGTTAGTTAAAAACAAGTTTGCATGGGTTCTGGCAGCAGTAAAGCGGTATCAGCATAATAGACTGCCCAGATGAGGAGCCATGTTGCATGTTACATTTAGGATGTGTTAGCTGCACTTACAACACAATCATTCATGCGTTCAAGCAGTAAAACGTGTGCTAAGTGTGATCGTATAATAGCAAAGGTATGACTTTTCGTGGGTGGAGTATCTCCTGACTGTATAAGGTAATGTGTTCTGCTATTGTCAGCTTGCTCCATGGAGATATTACAAAGAGAGCTTGCTGATTGTCAGCCCCAGCTCTGACAGTGCACCAGAGTTTGGACCCAGCCCTGGCATATCTCTCTGCCAGCAGCAGAGACCTGGCTCAGCTGATGGATCCAGCAGTAGGAGCGATGCCCTTTCCCAGGCTTGGCTCCCCAGGCCTCCTTCCACCTGCCACCAGTGACAGAGGCTTGGCCCAGCATGCCAAAGGCAGGCACTCCCAGGCTGGGTAGTGCTGGGCACATTGGGGAGTTGGCAGTGGGCTTAAAGTTATGGGGGTTGCACATCCTTACAGGTGGATGTGGAAGCTGAAGTGCCTGGTGCTGGGACACAGCTGGCTCCTGCCTGTCCAGAGTCATCTGAGGTCATAGTAAACCTCTACCATGTGATTGCTCAGAACTTTAAACATGGCTCAGTAATACTGTGATCTCAGCTAAAACATGTGCTAATTGTGCCATACAGCAAGGCCCTAACAAAACCTACTTTTTAGGCTGTAGCTAATTAACCTGAGCAGGGCACTGCACTAATACAGCCACACTGCTTCCAGTGCCTGAGCTAGCTTGTTCAGTTTGAGCTTGGGTACCTCTCTGTGGTATTGACTTGTGCCATGTACATCTACTTTTAGAACCTGTGTTTGATACCTAGAATACCATTACAAATGTACGGGAAAGATTAGGTCTCTTAGAACAGTATCCAAAACAGCCATCACACTGTTTCAGAGCTGCTAGAGTTAGCAGGCTGGTGCTAGCTAAAAGGGAAGTGCTATGCACAAAGGGAGGCTTGCAAACAGGTACCTCCATCTAAATTCCCTCTTTAAGTCTACTAGCTTCTTCTTAAAAGGATTAAACCCAGAAGAGAAGGCAACAGGTTATTTTGTTGGGAAGCATGAGGAGGTTCCTGTTGAGCCAAATAAAATAAAATAATTAATATTCTTTCAGGCAGAGATAAAGCAGAAAAAGCAGGTGACTCCATAGTGCAGTGGTTAGGGATTCATCTTGGAGGAGGGAGACCTTTGGTCCAGCTTTCCATTAAACAGTCATTGGAAAAAATACAGGACCAGTTCTGAGAACAAGGGCTGGAACCCAAGTCATCCCAATCCCACATGGATGCCTTAATGAGTAGGTTGCAAAGTCAGGTTTTTGCTCTCCGTCTTTCAGCAAATAGTTTTTGCATTGTCCTCTGTACCATAGACCAAATTCTAAAGAGAACGGTAGAAAGTGATCCCATTTAACCAGAATAGCAAATTGCCTAGTAGGTAAGGCATGATTGTATACCATGTGGGTTTTCATTCTCTCTGGGGGAGGAGGGAACCGAGTTGATCCCACATATTTCCTTTCCTAGACAAATGCCCCACCTACTACATCATTATATAATGGCAACACTGGACTCAGCACCACCATCTTAAAAGAAAGTAAGTCACTATTTCATGGGGACCCAGATCCTGTCAGTGTGTGTTGGGCAAGTTCTGAGATGTTCTTCAGCTACTTAAGGGCAGGAATGCTTGGTTCTGGATCTTGATAAGTTAGATACTGAGCTACTCTTCCCTATTAGGACTGGAGCATTTCTGGACATGTCCAGAGACACCATTCCAGCTCCCTTGAGAACTTCTAAGTCAAGCAGGAGACAGAGGTTACAGGCTTTCCAAGGTTAGGTGGCCAGTGAGGGTGGACAGTGTTCAGAATTGTGATTCTGGATAAAGGCACCTAAATTCTGCCTGTGTTCCTTTATTGAATCTGGCCCCAACACTGACTTCTTGTGAGATAAGGATGTTGGTGCACTACCTGACATGACACAAGCACAGCAATGAGCCTTCTCTTTGAAACTGGCATTTGCGATAAGCTCTTTTTCTCTCTCTGTCTTTCTGTCTAAGGTAGAGTCTGGGATTGGTATGCAGCATGAACACAAAGACTCAACTCCACTTCTCCCAGGAATAAGCATTCACACTTATGTTCTCTGTCTCAGTTGTCTTTTTTCTCCTCTCTCAGCTCAAGTTTCCCAAATATTTTTATGGAGTGAACCGCAATGGAATCCAGATACTAGTTCACAGATCACCTGTCTGCATGTTCACGCTCTCTATAGATAACGTTCTCTCCCCTTTCTGATTGTGACATACATATATGCTCAAGCAAGAAAACAAATTAAGCTGTCTTTTAATTCAGATTGGAAATCAGGAGTAAAACCCAACACCATGAGATCAAACAAGTCTCCATAGGGCATAAACGGATGCTTCACAGACCAGGGCCTCTGGTCTGTGCTACCCATAGGGAGCCAGCCACTAAGTATTTAGATAGAAGTAAAAGGGACACATCTCCAAAATCATGTATTCTTCAGAGATGATTTTCCTATGCAGATGTTTCTATTTATAGCTTTTTCTGCATATGATGCAACTAGATTGCCAGAGCTGACCACTTTATTTTATTAGCACAGCTTCCAGAGATGGGTCACATCTCTACTCATCAAGGGCTGGGCCAAAGAATAAATCGTGCAAGTGATTTTGGGTATCCTTCAGAAGTCCTAATACATACGTGTGGAAGTAGATATAAATGATAATTGTAACCTCCATTTTCTTTCCCTTCTCCCCTACCTACTCTTTTTGGCTCTTGCTTAGGTTCCTACAGGCCCAGCAGGCTGTCTCTGCACTCTTCCAGTGCTTCAAACCTCTCTTTTGCTCCTATTTCAATCCTCAACAACTTCCCTTTGTTCCCGTAATATTCAAATAAATGCCCATACAGACCAGCTTGCCCGTCTGAAATATGTTCAGTCATTCTATGCCTAGTGTTAATAATAAGCTGTTTTTCATTGCAGATTGACTAGCAATAACTGCTCATTAAAAGAGAGAAGAGAAGTACAGTTTCAACAGGGTCAATCCTTGTGCACTCACAACTCACTGTTGCTGATGGATGTACAAGAGATACAGAATTCTGCCCTTAGTGAGAAAAAACAAAAGGGTGTTTAATATCTGGTTAGTGTTTCAGAAAGAACCTACTCAATCAAAAGATAGCATGGTATCTAACCACCATTAAAATGAGGGATAAATCATTTCTTGGTGAGATAAAAAATTAACAAATAAACTCTGAATGGAAGCTGTGGCCAATCAGATTGAAGTAGTTTTCTAAATTATGATTTGGGAGATGCAGGGCAGATGATGTATTATGTATGCTGAAGTATGGTTTGATAGCCTTCCCTTCATGCTCCTAAGTTCTTAAAGAAGATCAATTAACAATATATTTTAAGGGCCCAGTTGTATGCTGTCGGCTATCCCTTGTGAAATTAATCCCAGAGGTTTCAGTAGGGATACTGATATATGTGCTGCCAACAGAAGAAAGGCCTACATAAATGAGGCCTAAATGTTTAGGGAGAGGCAGGGGAGATCTGTTCATGTTACTGATCAGCCCTTTGAAATACGGGACTATCTGAAAAGGAGACAATATTCTAGAAATGCAGGCAAACCACTCACTTGATCTGTCCATAAATCAAAGCAGTTTTCTGTAAAAGAAAACATATATAGTACTTTGTAAATTTTCCACGAGCAACATTTCCCATAGATTCATTCTGGTCTACGCTCCATAATGAGAACATTTATATTGTGTTCCTGAACTGAAATGCCCTTTTCCTAGATTGCGCATCTCATAAGGACACAAATAGTTAACTAAAGATGGAGTTACTATTGCACGACTGTGTCTTGCACAGAATGTCCCAGGCTAATAAAGGGTGTTATTTTAAAGTGGTAGTCAGATTCATAGATCCATAGATGTTAGGGTAGGAAGGGACCTGAGTAGGTCATCGAGTCCGACCCCTGCCCTGGGCAGGAAAAAGCACTGGGGTCAGATAACCCCAGCCACGTGCATGTCTAGCCTCCTCTTGAAGACCCCCAAGGTAGGGGAGAGCACCACCTCCCTTGAAAGGTGGCATCTAATTAGCCTTACAATTTTTAAATAAAATAAATTTTGTTTGAAATGTAATTGAATAAAAAATTGGGATGCACAGTATAAAATCATGAGCTAGCTTCAAAACAGAATAAAAATGCTCTTGCTGAAATGAAAAAAAAAAGCTTTTTTCAATCCCGTATTTGTTATGCCTTTCACTGGAAATGGAAACAACTGTCAATTTTGATTGCAAAATATTTATAGAGCTGGTTCAGGGGTTACAAAAAATTAATATGCACCTGCCTTATTTCAAAGGCTCCCGTCCTTAAGGCTATCTTCCACGTAAGGCCATATCAACTAAACTGAATTGCAGTAAATCATACACCTCTTCATAGTATCCTTATTTAAAAAATAAATAAATGTAAAAGTTTGGCACCTGAGGATATGAATCATGAATGGGGGGGAGTAAATAGAGTGCATATTTAGGGATTGAATCACACAGTTTATATCTATACCTATCAACATTCTTTTACTTCTATTCAAACTTTAAATTCCTTCCCTGCATGTATTAAAAAGTGCCATGGCAGCATGAAGTGCACTAAATTGTACTACTTTAATATAGGGGGGGAAAAAATCAATTATTCTCTTGCTTCTTCTAGGAGCTGCTAAGAAACAAAGAAAGATCTGTTGGTTGTATCTCATTACAACTCCTTTGTGTTCACATTTACTGTGTATTGCTTTGAAAGTCTTCTTTTGTCACAGTTCATAGCTGCACTCCATTGGCAGCTAAATAAAGTTAAAATCATTGCTTGTTAAAGATTAGCTAAACCACCTCTAAGCAGACTTCCAGATAGGTTTGGTTTTGTTCTGTAAATGAATTATGATCATGACACTCCCTTTCAGAAACAGAAATCACTCATCATAATCCAGACCCCTTTCTTAATGTTCTGTTTTTTAAAGAAGCAAAGGAAAACCTTAGAGAGTTTACCTGTTCCTTACAAGCAAAGATCACGGGAGCCCAAATAAATATTTTAACTGGCAATGTTACTGTATGAATGCCCATAAAAATGTGTGAATGTCATTAGGGAATGCAGTTATGCTATAGCTCTGTAATGCTGCTAGAAAGAGAGTATTCACCTCAACAACTTGCCCTGATACGGGAATTACAAAACAGTACTCCAGAAAATATTTTTTTTGCTACTTCATTATTAGTTGGCAACATGGTGAAATAGTCAGGAAATCTTCCTCAGGTTTTGTTGCTGTGAAGGTGAATCCAATGTTAACAAACTGAATTTTTGATACTTAGAGAAGAGAATTTCACATAAACAAATTTGTAATCTTGAGAAGTCGCTTGTTAAGCCCTCTGTATTGCAGTCACTCGCTGCAAAGCCTCTGCTTATTATTATCCATGCGTAGTGTATCGGGTACACAATATGCTTCAGCAAAAAGTTTGGTAGTTACAGAACATACAATACTGCCTCTTGAGATCTTCATAGAAAAAGAAAAGAAAGCCTGGCATTTTGGTCCCAGATTTTGAGTCTGTTAGAAAATGTACATTCAATGTTTGGTCTTCTGTTCTTGATAAAAGATCAAGGTTCACTTCTGGATATGGAATCAGAGTAAACAAACAAAACATGGTACAGTTGCTTACAATTTACCCTTTTCATATATTTTACACATGGTTCGTTGTTATACTAAAGCAAAGCACTTGGTATGTAACTGATTTAACAGACTCCTTTTAAGCCCTCAAAAATAGATGCAGTGTTTCTTAAAAGCCCATGTTTTTTAAGGCCACGAATATCTGCCACAAATACATTTTTGTCTCTAAAATCATACATCTGATGTTTCCATTTCAAATGATTCTGTTTCTCCTACTCTGTTCTTCACAAGATGACCCAACGCCTGCCATTGTACCTGTGTAAGCACGGGAGATCTTGAAGGCTTGGATGTCCCCTTTCTATTTGCTCATAGCTGTTGAGATCCAGGGTTGTCTCGAACTACATTCACAGCGAAGAAGAACTCTGAGTGTAATCTCTGATGATAAGCGTGTCATACTTCGGGGAGGAAGGGATGCAGAGAGCTGATTCAGACACCGGGGAGCTGGGAGATGCGCTCCCTGAATCAATGGAGTCTCTAAAAGGGGAGGGAGGAGTTAAAGCTACCAACTCCTCAAGATCTTGCTTTGCCGGTGGTGGGGCCTCTGAAGTACCTTCCTTGATGCTGCCATTTGAAGGTTTCCTAGCTGATTGGGATGCACCATTGACTTCAATGGCAGGGAGTGGTTGGATCTCTGCAAATGTGGTCATTGTGGTAGGAAGCTGGATTTCCCTTGGAATCAGGTATGAAGAACAGAGAGGAGTGGCCACCATGGCCCCCGGTGTGGTGGTGGAAAGCATCATAGAGTTTAACTCGCTGATGTTGGCTGTGAAGCGTGTGACCACACTGCTGATCTGCTCCATCAGGGAACCTTGAGAGGAGCTGCTTCTCTGGGCATTCTCCGTCTGGAAAGTAGGGGCATCGTCATCTGTTCGGCTAACGGAGGCAGTTCTGTGGCTTACCGTACTGATAGGCGAGGGGGTTTGTGGCCGGTACTGAGCTGGGTAATGCTCCTCTGCTTCTGAGACATCATACAGCATTTTGGCACTGGTCTCGGGGATAGTGGTGCTGCTGCTATGTCGGCTACTATCTGTGCTTTTAGAAAAGGGCTTGATCACTGCAGTTTGGTTGGGATTCTCCTTTTTGTTGATGTGGATTGATAGCCTTTGCCAAAGGTGTGCTCCTCTACTGCTCTTCTCGTTCTGGGCCCACGAGACTGATTTCCCATTAGAGCTGTGAAGGCAAATGAGATCAGATTATGCCTTGCATTGAGGCAGTACTTATAGTCATGGAAGCTCACATTCTCTATCTTACTAAATAACTGATGTGGGCGGCCTGTGTTCCAGTACACACACTTCATGAGCCCTGTAAAGTTGATGGTAAAAAAGTGTGTGTGTGTATGTATGTGTGTACACACACACACACACACACACACACACACACACACACACACACACACACACACACACACACACACACACACACACACACACACACACACACACACACACACACACACACACACACACACACACACACACACACACACACACACACACACACACACACACACACACACACACACACATCCTTTCAAGTCTATATATATATAGATCTATATATCATCAAAAAGAACATGGATTAATGCATGGCCTGATTAAGCAGAAGCAACACTTGTGGCAACCTAATAAAACAATGCTCATCTTGCAATGTTTGTAACAGCCCAGTGACTTGGCCTCCCATAGCAGACAGATTCCTCAATCCCTTATTCATATCTGGAACACAGAGTGACTCTCCGGTATCCTAATTTCAGGCAGTCCTAGACTAGATTAAATTAAACTGCTGCCTAGTAACCTGGAGCAACTAAAACCTAGCTTGCCCACATGAAATTTGAGTTTGTTGGAGAAGCTGCTGACCTGTCATTAAAAATGAAGGGTATTAGCTATCTAGTTTGCCTAACCAGAGGCTGAAAATAAAAATGGATTGAGTGACTTATACATATCATGAAAGAACAGGAGAAACGAGGAGATGCCAGCCTGGTTCTGAAACTTGCTTTGTAGACTACTTGGAGCAATTCTGCTTGTTGTACCTCAGCTCAGTATTTCTCTGCTCTTCCCAAATGCAGCAGGAAACTTAAAACTGGTAACATTTCCAGGAACCTGAGGTTGGTTGCTCATTTTCATTTTCAGCCTTAGATCAGATTTGTCACTCGGTTAATGCACCCAGGATGTTTAATTACAGGTCAGCTCAGAGGAACAGAGGCACCAACTCCATTGTTCTAGAAATGTCCTGTCCCAATGGCAGTTTGAGTTTCAGTCCTTCTCTTCCATCCAAAAACAGGTTCCTTACAGGGTTCCTCCCTCCCCAACACATTGTTGATCCATCTCCCCTTACTGTCTGTGGAAAGGACCCCTCATCAGTGAGATGATTGCAGATATCTCAAATGCATAGCATGACATTGCTCCTTTCATCTCTTCCTCTCCTTTCAAGTCAACTGGATTTTTGTTTGTGTATATACAAGACTCAGACAACTCTTCACATTCACCTGTGGCTCTCAGGATTAAGAAAGACCATTAGCAGTAGAAAAAATTCTTCATGAAAATAGACATTGACCCCAAAAGGACAGCAACAGTAAGAACGTAAGTCTTCACGTACATAGTGACATACAGGCATAACTTGTATATGAAACGATGGAACTTTAAAGCCATTTATTGGGATTTCTAAGACGGTTGCAACAGTTTACATTTTTTTGTGGAAACACAAGCAGATTGAGATCCTGGCAGTGCATGGACAAGTTTAGACATGCTTTCTTTAAGACCAAAGTGACTACTGCCTAATTTATAGTATGCTATGTAACAGTTCATAAAATATAATCATACTAAAGCAACTGCACATAGTTTTGCATTTGGTCGAAGGAGCCTTCACTGTCTCTTCCAGGGACCCAAGAACCTTGAGTTGTGAACGCCTATGGTCACCTTCCAGGGAAATACAATGGGTCACATGCCGTGACATTGTTCCTTACAAACAGGAGCATGATAGATTTTAGGAGATGGACACTACCTAAACCACTGGCTTTTTGGAAGCAAACTAACTAAACTCTAAGATAGCCCCTGCCATTGTGAGCAGGAGCCTGAGAAGAGTTGTGCTTGCCTGAAGGATGATTTCCTGCCCTTCGCTGTCTGGGGAGAGGGGGACAAAAAGCAAACAGGTGGTTCTCAACCATTTTGAACTTGAGGCCCCCTC